TTTGAGAATAGCACGAATGTCTTTTGATTGCATTTACCCTCTCCCTACCCCTCCTTTTCTTTCCTCCTGGATCTACCTCCCTTGCCCCTCCAGCATCATGCTCTCTTTTCTTACCTTTTTCTTTTTCAGTAGGGCCTCCAAATCCAGTATATGCTTCATATATACATGGATTCAGGGCCATCCACTGGAGTGTGGTTGACTCACTGTTCCCCAGAAGCCTTCAGTTGTCAACAGTTCCTCAGGGAGGGGTGGGGGCTCGTGAGCCCCTCTCCCATGCACACTAGAGTGTTGACTGGCTTGATCTTGTATGAGCACCCACAGCTGCTGGGAGGTCCTGAGTGCAGGGGTCCTGCCATGTTCAGAAGGATCTACTTCATTCTGGTCCTCCCTGACCTCTGGCTTTAACAGTCTCTTCTGCCCCTTCTTCTGCCATGGTCTCTTGTACAGGGGGAGGGTGATATGGATGTCCAATGTGTGGCTGAGCACATAGGACTGATTCTCTGCACTCGGCCAAGTGTGAGTTCCTGCATTAACTACTGTCTGTTACACAAAGAAGCTTCTCTGGTGAAGTCGAGAGCTGTGCTATGTATGGGTATAGAGATGCAAATGCAGGGCTCAGCTTGATATTATGTCCATTTATCAAATGGTAGGTTCATTCTTGGAGTCTGTGAGTTCCCTCTCCATGGGCTCATGGCCAGATTTCCAGTACAGTACACACATTCCCTACTGTGGAGTCAACCTTAAATCCAACCAGAAATCAGCTGGCTACCTCCATACTATTCCCGCCACTACTGCACCCATGTGCACAACTGACCACACCAGTCACTGTAGTCTGCAGGACTCACAGCAGCCTGCATAGCACCTTCAGGATTTGGAAAGCTAACCTACAAGAAGGAAGCTTCCTGATTGGTACCAGCTTGATTTTCTCCATTCCTTTGACCACTTTGTGTTGTGTCTTCAGCAGTAGGATCTTAGCATTAAGTTCTGGTGGCCAAGCAAGAGCAGTAACCATAATCTTTATTATTTGGGAGTTTCTGGGACACCACTGACCTGACCAACTACTTGAAGTATTCTGCATGTGGCATTGGACTTTTTCATTTGGCAACTTATGGCTTCTGGGAGGAACAGTGTCCTTTGTGTAGGGTAACTCCATCTTTTCTGCATGCTAGAGTTACAGTTGCGTGCATCCCTTGTGTAGGGTAACTCCAGCTCTTCTGCATGCTAGAGTTACAGATGTGTGCATTCTTTGTGTAGGGTAATTCCAGCTCTTCTGCGTGCTACAGTTACAGATGTGTGCATTCTTCGATTCAGCAATTCAACTTCTTAGGATTTACTTTTTCAGATATTTTGTCCACACAAGAAATGATTGTTTCCCTTTAATCCCAGCACTTGGGAGGCAGAGGCAGGCTGATCTCTGTGAGTTCGAGACCAGCCTGATCTACAAGAGCTAGTGCCAGGACAGGCTCCAAAACCACAGAGAAACCCTGTCTCGAAAAACCAAAAAAAAAAAAAAAAAAGATTGTTTCCTGGATTTTTCACAGTGGACTATCAGAAACAGCTATCTATTGTTTCTTTATTTCTTTCTTTCTTTATTTATTTATTATGTATACAATGTTCTGTCTGTGTGTATGCCTGAAGGCCAGAAGAGGGCACCAGACCTCACTACAGATGGTTATGAGCCACCATGTGGTTGCTGGGAATTGAACTCAGGACCTTTGGAAGAGCAGGCAATGCTCTTAACCACTAAGCCATCTCTCCAGCCCCTATTGTTTTATTTGTTGCTTGAGACAGGTCTTACTATGGAGCCCAGCCTGGCCTCAAGCCCATAATCCTCCTGCCTCAGCTGGGTAAATTCAGGAATTACAGTTGTGCACTGCCACATCCAGCAACACAAGTGCACCTGTAGCAGAGATTAAATAAGTTATGATGTATCTGTACAGTGGGATATTATGCTGCTGTTCTATTTGTTGAGGATAAGAACTTCAAGATAGGTTGTAGTAAGAAAGAGCAAGATGCAAACCATTGTGTATTGCTGTGCATAATATCCCATTGTTAAAATATTAGGTTGAAAATGTAATAATGGAACTAGAGAGATGACCCAGGGCTTTAAGAGAACTGACTGTTCTTTGAGAGGACCTGGGCTCAATTCCTAGCCCCCATATGGGAGCTCACAATCATCAGTAGTAACTGCGGTCTCAGGGGATCCAATGCAGCCTCTGGCTGCTGCAGGCACTCCATGCATGTGATGCATAGATATACATGCAGGCCAAACATCCACACACTGAAAATAAAGATAGAAGGAAAAGATCTAATGATTTTTGTCTGTGGCCAAGAAAACTAGGTGGCTGGGGAATGGCTGGGAGCAACGTTTGTCTCTAAAAGGGCTTTTGAGAGGCTGGAGAGATGCTCTTCCAAAGGTCCTGAGTTCAATTCCCAGCAACCACATGGTGGCTCACAACCATCTGTAATGGGATCTGGTGCCCTCTTCTGGCCTGCATGCATAAAAGGACTTTTGAATACTAAATTTTAAACCTGAATCCTCTGGGTTTTTTTGTTTTGTTTTGTTTTTAATTCCCACACTGAGGTTATCAGGAGCTTGTGGTCTCTGTGCCCTCGTGGCTCTGATCTGGTCTCTCCTTTGTCTTTCCTAAAGACACATCCAGCCACCCATTCTGCCTTCTGAGTTTCCTGGCAGCAAATGAGCTTTTTCTTTTTCTTTAAAATATTTTTTTGCCCTTTTCCTCCTTGCATTCAGAATGTATTAAATCGATGGCTGAATGCAGTGTGCTATTCCACATCTTCACTCATAAGCACAAGTTTATTTTGCATAAACCATTTTTTTATTGATTCTTAGAATTGAAAAGTATTCCCAGCACCAGCTAAGGTATTTAGGCATGCAAGCCAGTACACAGTGAGTCCTGTGGCCCAGTGGCTCCCCTGTTGAGGCTGTGTGACACCAAGTGCCTGGCAGGCCTATTATATGCGTACCCTTTTGTGGTGCTGGGGATAGAACTCACAGTCTTGTACATGGCACCTGAGCCACCCGAAACAAGGCCATGTTATGAAGCACAGACTTGCCTCTCAAATGCTAGGCCTGCAGGCTGCCTGGAGCCCATGTTTCCCCTCCCCCCTTTTTACCTCTTTACCTGTTCATTTTCTTGTGTGCCTTTCATGTGTGTTTGTTTTGGTGCTGGGAATTGAGTCAGCCTTTGTTTGCTAACATATGCTGTTGCTGAGCTATCCCTCAGTCTGTACTTTGCATTAGGGTCCACTCTTGTGCCCCTGGTAAGCTCCCACTGTGTAACCATAAACTGTGCTTCACTTATTGACCTATTAGATTTTGGTATGAATTTGTTTAGATTAAAAATAACTACACTGGCCTGGCCGGGCGGTGGTGGCACATGCCTTTAATCCCAGCACTCAGGAGACAGAAGCAGGCGAATCTCTGTGAGTTCGAGGCCAGCCTGGTCTACAAGAGCTAGCAGGACAAGCTCTAAAGCTACAGAGAAACACTGTTTTGAAAAACAAAACAAAACAAAACAAAACAAACAACAACAAAAAAAGCTACGCTGGCTTTCCCTGTATGTATGTATTTAATCATACCTCTCAATGGAACCTGGACTTGTCCCATTCTTTTTTATTTTTTTCATATTTTTTTCAAGACAGGGTTTCTCTGTGTGGCCCTGGCTATCCTGGAACTAACTCTGTAGACCAGGCTGGCCTTGTACTCACAGAGATCCACCTGTTTCTGCCTCCTGAGTGCTGGGATGAAAGGTGTGTGCCACCACCGCCCGGAGAGTTGTCCCCACTCTCTTGCTATCACAGTGTCACCACAGATAACCCCGGAGAGACACTTGTCTGTGGGATAAATCCTTAGGATTGTTATGCAAAAAGGTCTGTGCATTGAAAGGGTGGAAACAATTTTATTACATTTTATTTATCTCTCTCTGTGTGTATGCATGTATGGACAAGTCTTAGAGTGTGTTGAGGTCAAAGGACAGCATGTCAGAATTCTCTCCTTCTACCATGTGGATCCTGGGGACTGAACTTAGACCCTTAGGTTTGGTGGCAGCCATCTTGCTGGCCCCTGTACATTTAAAATTTTGATCATTTCAAGTTCCTGTCCTTAGGGATTTAATAGTTCATAGGATATAAGGCCACCCAGCCTTTATTTTTTTTTTTTTTTTAAAAAGACTTCTAGTGAGGGCTGGAGAGATGGCTCAGTGGTTAAGAACACTTAGTGCTCTTCCAGCAGAGTGGAGTTCAGTTCTAGCACCCCTGTAAGGAGACTCAGAGCCATCTCTGACTACAGCTTCAGGGGATCTTGCATCCTCTTTTGGCCTCCATGGGCATCTGCACTAGTGCACGTCCCCACACAGAGCACATATATGCATAATTTAAAAAAATCTTAAAAAAACACCCACAAGGGGGCTGGAGATATGGCTCAGTGGTTAAGAGCATTGCCTACTCTTCCAAAGGTCCTGAGTTCAATTCCCGGCAACCACATGGTGGCTCACAACCATCTGTAAAGAGGTCTGGTGCCCTCTTCCGGCCTGCAGACATGCACACAGACAGAATATTGTATACATAATAAATAAATAAATATTAAAAAAAAAACACCCACAAAACAAAGCTATGATATTTCATGCTTGTAATCCTAGCACTTGGAAATGGAGGCAGGAGGATTAGGAGATAAGGTTGAGCCTCTTTCTCTTAAAAAAGAAAAGAAAAGAAGAAAAGTAAGGTAAAAGCTTCCGGAGTTTCTACTTATGGTATAAAGTCAAATATTGATTGAGGGTGGATAAGAATCAATATTAGTGGACTGGAGTTGTTTACTACTGAAGCTGCTTAAGGTCCCATGAGGAGAAATACTCAGTGTACTAAAATGCTTAAATGCGGCCATCAGAAGCTTTGCAAGTGAGGGTGGCTGCTGTACCCACTGCTGTCAGGCAGCCCTGATGATAGCTGCACCATGCTCACTGCTTTTGTTTTTTCCCTAGGACCTTAGCATCCTGAGCCATTTGGATTCACAGTCCTCAAGGCTAAGCTGTCAGAGTTCATCATGTCCAAGTTAAAAAGCTCAGAGTCAGTCCGGGTGGTGGTTCGCTGTCGACCCATGAATGGCAAAGAAAAGGCCGCATCCTTCGACAAAGTGGTAGATGTGGATGTGAAGCTGGGGCAGGTGTCTGTGAAGAACCCCAAAGGCACATCCCATGAGATGCCCAAGACCTTCACCTTCGATGCCGTCTATGATTGGAATGCCAAGCAATTTGAACTCTATGACGAGACGTTCCGGCCACTTGTGGACTCTGTCCTACAGGGTTTCAATGGCACAATTTTTGCCTACGGACAAACGGGAACTGGGAAAACCTATACCATGGAGGGAGTCCGTGGTGACCCTGAGAAAAGAGGGGTCATCCCCAACTCATTTGATCACATCTTCACCCACATCTCTCGATCGCAGAATCAGCAGTACCTGGTCAGGGCTTCTTACTTAGAGATCTATCAGGAAGAGATCCGAGACTTGCTCTCAAAGGATCAGACCAAAAGGCTGGAGCTCAAAGAAAGGCCCGATACGGGCGTGTACGTGAAGGATCTGTCTTCCTTTGTCACCAAAAGTGTGAAGGAGATAGAGCACGTGATGAATGTGGGGAACCAGAACCGATCTGTCGGTGCCACCAACATGAACGAGCACAGCTCACGGTCACATGCAATCTTTGTCATCACGATCGAATGCAGCGAGGTGGGCCTAGATGGTGAAAACCACATCCGGGTAGGAAAACTGAACCTTGTAGACCTTGCTGGCAGTGAGCGGCAAGCCAAGACTGGCGCTCAAGGGGAAAGACTGAAGGAAGCAACCAAAATCAACCTGTCCCTTTCAGCCTTGGGTAATGTTATCTCTGCCCTGGTAGATGGCAAAAGCACCCATATTCCATATAGAGACTCAAAACTGACTAGGCTTCTCCAGGACTCCCTTGGTGGCAATGCCAAAACTGTGATGGTAGCCAATGTGGGGCCTGCCTCTTACAATGTAGAAGAGACCCTGACCACTCTGAGATATGCCAATCGTGCCAAAAACATTAAGAACAAGCCAAGGGTCAATGAGGACCCAAAGGATGCTCTGCTTCGAGAATTCCAGGAAGAAATTGCTCGGCTCAAGGCCCAGCTGGAAAAACGTTCCATTGGCAGGAGGAAGAGGCGAGAGAAGCGGAGGGAAGGTGGTGGCAGTGGTGGGGGTGGGGAAGAGGAGGAGGAGGAGGGAGAAGAGGGTGAGGAGGAAGGGGATGATAAGGATGATTACTGGCGGGAACAGCAAGAAAAACTGGAGATTGAGAAGCGGGCCATTGTAGAGGATCACAGCTTGGTTGCAGAGGAGAAGATGAGGCTGCTGAAGGAGAAAGAAAAAAAGATGGAGGACCTGCGACGGGAGAAGGATGCTGCTGAGATGCTGGGGGCCAAAATCAAGGTACTGTGCCCTTCCTAGGCCCCTTCCCTTTCAGTGCCATTTCTTTGATCAGAAGAATTATACAGTGGGGGCTGGCATGGTGACAAACACCAAACACCTTTAATCCCAGTATCCAGGAGGCAGAGGCAGGTGGATCGCTTGTGAGGCCTATATAGTAAGTTCTAGGACAGCCAGAGCTACAGAGTGAGACCTTGTTTTTCCATACACCTAAAATAAAATTCAAAACCAAACTGCATTCATGACAGTTGTCATGTATGTGCATTGTATGAAGAACCGCGATAAAACTAATATGAACCGTGATAAAACTAATACCCAGGCATCCTCGCTTCCAGTGAAGAATAGGACAGCCCTCTTTTCTTATCTCTCTTTTTTGCTTTGAGAAAGTAGGTATCATTTTGATTATTTGATGTTTCTGTTTGTATTTTTGAATCAGTGTCTTGATGTATATATAATATATATCATATATATTATATAATATATACAGTATAGGATTACAGGTGCACACCACTTTGCGCAGCATTTCTTTTTTCTTTTTTAGTTTTTTGAGACAGGGTTTCTCTGTAGCTTTTGAGCCTGTCCTGAAATTTGCTCTGTAGATCAGGCTGGCCTCAAACTCACAGAGATCTGCCTGCCTCTGCTTCCCGAGTGCTGGGATTAAAGGTGTGTGCCACCACTACCCAGCATTTCTTTTTTAAAGGCAGGGTCTCACATAGTGCAGGTTGGCCTTGAACTTGATCGTAGCCGAGAATGAACACAGGCATGTGCCATCATGGGACAAACACGCTCCCAGTTGGACCACGGCCTCGGTGTCCATTTCCTTAGATGCTCCTGTGTTCGCCCCTCCAAACCAATGATGCTGTTGCCTTGCTTTTGTCTCCTGTAGCATCTGTCTACTTTCGCATGGGCATTTACTTAAGGTGTTATCACGTTTGCTTTTATTTACCAGCGATCGTCCCTAAGAACCCGGACTGAAGCCTCTAGTCATGTCCATTACTGTTACAGTTCTGAATATTCTGTGACATTCCATTCCCCTCGGATGGGCCGTCCCTGTGTTCTGCTGTGACCATTCTTGCGCCTGACTCCAGGAGACTTGCTGGCACCCTTAGATTCTAGAGTGAATCTTTTTTTTCTTTTCGTTTTTTGAGTCAGGGTGTCTCTGTGGAGCCCTGGCTGTCCTGGAACTCGCTCTATAGACCAGGCTGGTGGAGAACTCAGAGTTCCGCCTGCCTCTGCCTCCTAGTGCTGGGATTAAAGGCGTGTGCCACCATGGCCAGGATCTAGAGGGAAGCTTTTGAAGCACCCACTTTACTCCTCATCCTACCCATAGTGGTGATTATCAGACTAACTTTTGTATAGTAGTGAGGTAGAACAGTGTCTTTGTGGGATGTTAGCCCGGCACCCTGTTGTTTACTGCTGCTTAGTTCTGCCCCCCCCCCCCCCCCCCCCCCGCCAGTTTCCCTGTGCTGTTCTCTTCATTGGGGGGGCAATAGCCCTATTGCTGATGTGCTGACACCTGCTCTGCGTTTCCTCAGATGCTGGACAGCACTCTAGAGTATGGAGAGTCCTCAGCTCCTCTTTAATCTAGTACAGTGCACTGTTTCCTTGGGTGCCCGGACTAGGACTGCCCATGGGTTCTTTCTTACTGAACTTATACAAATTTTAATTTCTTCTCTAAAATATATCCATGTTCTCTCCATCCCCTCCCCTCCAGCCTTTCTGCAATGTGGTCTCACTGTGTAGCTCTGGCTCTGGAGTTCACTATGTAGAACAAGCTGACCTTAAACTCACAGAAATCTGTCTCTGCCTCATGAGTGCTGAGATTAAAGGTGTCTCATCACCATGCATCTTATCCCAGCTAAAGTTTCATTTCTTTCTTTTCCTTTTTTTTTTTTTTTTTTTTTTTGATTTTTCAGACTGGTTTTGAACTCAGAGATCCGCCTACCTCTGCCTCCTAAGTGCTGGGATTAAAGACGTGTGCCACCACTGACCAACTAACTAAAGTTTCTTAAGAGCAAGGCAGAGGAGGTTTTGGTTTCTGGGTTTTCGTTCCCCTGGCTTAACTTCATCTACACGCTGACGCCTCTCAGTCTGTACAGCTGCCTTCTGGCACCCAGGCTCCATGGCCTTCTGTTGACCAGTGCCATCAGAACAGCCTTCCACCTTCCTTACCTCAGTGAAGCTAGACTCCTAGGAGTTGTCCTCGCATGCTCTTCCTCCCTCTCTTTTTGTGATCTCCTCAGTCCCAAGGCTTCTTGCTTTTACCTCATCAGGGCCTTTGCAACTTAGCTACCACCATACACACACATAAACACACCATTCCACACCACACCACACCACACCACACCACACCACACCACACCATACCACACCACACCATTATTAGTGCCTTTGAAACCAAGCTACTGCTACACACACACACACACTCACACACTCACACACTCTCTCACACTCACACAATGTATAGTAGCCTCTTGCCTGCACTCCATCAGCATGCCCTCTTCCAGAAATTTCTCCTGCTATGGGGTGTAATCTTAAAACCCAGTTTGCCTGTGCACATGTACTCCTGAGGCTTTCAGGATCAAACAGGGATTTTTTTTAACAGGGTTCTGAGGCTTTTGCTTTAACCTCTACTGGTTTTGTCAACTTCCTTATTCTACCCTTGCAAACAAAAGCCTTTTTTATTCTTAGGAAATTCTTACTTCAGCTTTTTGTGTAGCTGTCCCTTCAGACAGGAAGCTGTCTCCAACTTCCCCCAAAGCCTGACTCCTCTTCTGTTCCCTCTCCCTCTAGCTTCTCAGAGTTTCCTCACAGTAACATCCCATGCCATCTGCTTAAAGCCTGCTTATTTGTCTGTGTCCCTCGGCGGGCTCTGGGCCTTATGGTCCTCACTGACAGAAACATCTCTAGTCTATAGCGCACCAGATAGATTTAGTGTGTCTAGAGTGGGATTAGTGTTCTGGATAAACAACCGATAAAGGACTTGTTTAAAAAACAAAGAAACAAACTAACAAACTCTGAAAGCCATATCTCAAACAGCCAGACCTTCAGTGTCATCAGAATGAAGTCCCATCCTGTTCTGGACAGCTTGCACGTATTTTTCCCCAGAGTAGTTTTTATTTATTTGGGAGAGTGGTTTTTTTTTTTTCAGTATCTCAATATGTAGCCCAGATTGGCCTGTAATTTGTAATCCTCCAGCCTTAGCCTCCTGAATGTTGGGACCGTAGGGACACACTGTCATGCTTAGTCAAGAGAGTATCCTTCCAGTCTTCCTGTGAGGGGATATGTTGTTCCGGGGGAGACCACAGGATGGATTTTACTTTATTTCTCATTCAGGCCATGGAGAGTAAGCTGCTTGTTGGAGGAAAAAATATAGTAGATCATACAAATGAACAACAGAAGATCTTGGAGCAGAAGCGCCAGGAAATCGCAGAGCAGGTAACTTTGCGTTCTTACGTGGGGAGGAAGGCGTGGACTGACGTGATTGAGGCCACAGAGCTGACACCTGTGGTATGAGAGCAGCTTCAGAGGGAGCGGAGAGAAGCTGGCAGCCCCCTGCTAGCCGGAGACCGACTGGGAGCATCCAGACCCATACTGTGTAGACAGGTCGCTAGGGCAAGCTGATGAATTTTGTGGTATCGCTCAGAAACGTCGAGAAAGAGAAATCCAGCAGCAAATGGAAAGTCGAGACGAGGAGACGTTGGAACTAAAAGAGACTTACACCTCGTTGCAGCAGGAGGTAGACATCAAGACCAAAAAGCTCAAAAAGGTAGGAAGTGCCGGGGACCCTGAGGGAGGGTGCACCTTCTTTGCACAGCCTTTCCTCACCTGTGTCCCCCTGGCTCCAGCTCTTTTCCAAGCTCCAGGCTGTGAAGGCTGAGATCCACGACCTGCAAGAAGAACACATCAAGGAGCGCCAGGAGCTGGAGCAGACGCAGAATGAGCTCACCAGGGAGCTTAAGCTCAAGTGAGTAGCTGTCAGCAGGGTCCTGCCATCCCCTGGGTCCAAGAAGACCCGTCCCAAGACAGCCCACCTGCTTCTTGCCAGCTCAGCCTCTGCCACCCACTGCCTGCTGATGCTCCTGCCAAAGTCACTTTTCATTTCAGTCTGTGAGGTCACCACGTGCTCTTCCCATTCTCTCACCCTTATCTTTGGCTTCTTTCAGATTCTCTGGTCTCACCTGTCACTCAAGAGAGAATCTTTAATTACCTTTTTTCTGATTGGCCAAATGAATACCTTCATACTCATCAACCAGAGCACTATAAGAACTATTGTTCTCTTGAAGTCTGAGCATCTTCTTTTTGAGATGGAGTCTCATGTAGCTCAGTCTGGTCTCAAATTTGCTGTGTAGCTAAGGATGGCCTTGAACTCCTGGTGGTATGTGCTATCATGCCTACTCTATGTGGTGTTGGAGATCAAACCTAAGGCATCATACAAGCATTCTGCCAACTGCGCTGCTTCCCCAGGCCCCTGAGCAATGTATTTTTTAATGCTTTGTAGGTGATAAAGTATAGCAGCATGTCTGTCATCTGAGCACTTGGAAGGTTGAGGCATGAGGCTCACAAACCCAACCCAGACTGTACAGTGAGAGCTTGTCTTAAAAACAAACAATAGCCAGGCTGTAGTGACACATGCCTTTATCCCAGCACTTGGGAGGCAAGCACAACTCTGTGAGTTCAAGGCCAGCCTGGTCTACAGAGCTAGTTCCAGGACAGGCTCCAAAGCTACACAGAGAAACTCTGCCTTGAAAACCCAAAACACAAGAACAACCAAACAACAACAATGAAAAATCAGTGCTGAGATGATGTTAGTATTTCAACCAATCAATAAGCCATCTTTGGATTTTTTTTTTTTCTGAGACAAGTTCTCATGGTGTAGTCCTGGCTGACCTGGAACTCACTAGGCAGACCAAGCTGGCACTGAACTCACAGAGCTCTGCCTACTTCTGCCTCTGCATCCTGAGTACTGAGATTAAAGGAATGTTCTTGTTCTTTTTTTTTTTTTTTTGGTTTGATATTTATTTATTTTTTGGTTTTATGTCTCTACCACAGTTTCCTCTACCTCTTTTCCTCCTCCTCATCTCTTCAGAAAAGGCCAGCCTTCCCATGGATATCAGGCAACCAAGGAATATCAAGTTGCACTGAGCCTAGGCACCTCCTCTCCTATTAAGGCTGGATGAGACAGCCCAGTAGGAGAAAAGGGTCCCAACAGCAAGCAGTAGAATCAGAGCCAGTCCCTGCCCCTACTGTCAGGAATCCCACAAGAAGGCTAAGCTACACAACCATAACATATATGCAGGTTCCCTGGTTGTTTGTCCAGTCTCTGTGAGCCCCTGTGAGCTCAGGTTAGTTGAGTTTGTGGGTTTACTTGTGGTGTCCTTGACTCCTCTGCCTCCTACAATCCTTCTTTCCTCCTCTTCCTTGGGATTCTCTGAGTTCCGTCTGAGTTTGGCTGTGGGTCTCTGCAGCTGTGTCCGCAGTTGCTGGGTGCAGCCTCTCTGCTGACCACTGGGCTGGGCACCAGTCTGTGAGTACCGCAGAATATTGTTAGGAGTCATTTCCTTGGCTGTTTTTTCCCCAGTTGTGTTTGGTTCTATCCTAGGTCTCTGGCTATCCTACCTTTGGGTCCTGGCCCTCCAGCAAGTGTCAGGGGTGAGCTCCCTCCCATGGTATGGTTCTTAAGCTGGACCAGCCATTGGTTGGCTACTCCCACAGTTTCTGTGCTGCCTTTACTGAAGCACATATTGTAGGCAGGACAAATTGTAGGTCAAGGGCTTTGTTTTTGTGGCTGGTTGATATCTCAGTCCCTCCACTGGAAGTCTTTCCTGGTTACAGGAGATGGCTGGTTCAGGCTCCATAGCCCCCATTGCTAGGAGTCTTAGTGAGGGTCACTCTTACGGATGCACTGTGTTTCCAGATCTTCCCAGAGATGCCCCTCATTCCAGTTGTGTGTCTCAGTACTCTCTCTTTCCATCCCCCCCCCACAGACCCCTCCCCTAAAGCGATTTTCAAACAGGTTCTTTTACTGGTCAAGTTTTAAATTTGGAAAGGAGTCCTTAAACTTCAATGTGTGTAAGGGGACTGGAGAGATGGCTCAGTGGTTAAGAGCACTTGCTGCTCCTACAGAAGACCTGGGTTCAGTTCCCAATACCTATATGGTGGTTTACAACCATCTATAACTCCAGTTCCAGGATATCTGACAGCCTCATCTGTCTTCTGTGGGCACTACAGTGGTGCCCAGACATATAATTCAGGCAAAATATTCTATACATATAAAATAACCTAAAAAATTCAATGTGTGTGGGGCTGCTAAGATGAACACAGGTAGAGGTGCCTGCTGTGTAACCCTGGTGACTGAGTTTGATCCTTAGGAAGCACATAAAGGTAGGAGAGAATTTTTTCCATGAAGTTGTTCTCTGACCTCCACACATGCACTGCAGCACTAGCACACACGCATGTGCACACACACGCACCCACACATGCATGCAAACATGCACACACACATATACACACACATGTACACACACACACACACTGTAACAGTCCTCTTTGTAGTCAGGTAGAAAAAAGATCAGATTCAATGCAATCCCCATCAAAATCCCATCAAAATTCTTCACAGATCTGGAGAAGACAATAATCAACTTTATATGGAAAAATAAAAAACCCAGGATAGCCAAAACAATCTTATACAATAAAGGAACGTCTGGAGGCATTACCATCCCTGACTTCAAACTCTATTACAGAGCTACAGTATTAAAAACAGCTTGGTATTGGCATAAAAACAGAGAAGTCGACCAATGGAACCGTATAGAAGACCCTGACTTTAATCCACAAACCTATGAGCAACTGATTTTCGATAAAGGAGCTAAAACTATACAATGGAAAAAAGAGAGCATCTTCAACAAATTGTGCTGGCAAAACTGGATTTCAATCTGTACAAAAATGAAAATAGATCCATGTCTGTCACCATGCACAAAACTCAAGTCCAAGTGGATTAAAGACCTCAATATCAGTCTGAACACACTGAACCTGATAGGAGAGAAAGTGGGAACTACACTACAACAAGTGGGCACAGGAGACCGCTTCCTACGTATAACATCAGCAGCACAGACAGTAAGGGCCTCATTGAATAAATGGGACCTCATGAGACTGAGAAGCTTCTGTAAAGCAAAGGACACTGTCGCTAAGACAGAAAGGCAACCCACTGACTGGGAGAAGATCTTCACCAACCCCGCAACTGACAAAGGTCTGATCTCCAAAATATATAAAGAACTTAAGAAACTAGACTGTAAAAGGCTAATCAACCCAATTATAAAATGGGGCACTGAGCTGAACAGAGATCTCTCAACAGAAGAAGTTCAAATGGCCAAAAGACACCTAAGGTCATGCTCAACTTCCTTAGCGATCAGGGAAATGCAAATCAAGACAACTTTAAGATACCATCTTACACCTGTCAGAATGGCTAAAATCAAAAACACCAATGATAGCCTATGCTGGAGAGGTTGTGGAGAAAGGGGTACACTTATCCATTGCTGGTGGGAATGCAAACTTGTACAACCACTCTGGAAAGCAGTGTGGCGGTTTCTCAGAAAATTTGGGATCAACCTACCCATGGACCCAGCAATACCACTCTTGGGAATATACCCAAGAGAGGCCTTATCATGCAACAAAAATATATGCTCTACTATGTTCATAGCAGCATTGTTTGTAATAGCCAGAACCTGGAAACAACCTAGATGCCCCTCAATTGAAGAATGGATGAAGAAAGTATGGAATATATACATATTAGAGTACTACTCAGCAGTAAAAAACAAGGACTTCTTGAAGTTTGCAGGCAAATGGATGGAAATAGAAAACACTATCCTGAGTGAGGTAAGCCAGACCCAAAAAGAGGAACATGGGATGTTCTCACTCATATTTGGTTTCTAGCCATAAATAAAGGACATTGAGCCTACAATTCGGGTTCTTAGAGAAGCTAAAGAAGAAGGAGAACCCAAAGAAAAACATATAGGCATCCTCCTGAATATTAACCTTCATCAGGCGATGAAAGGAGACAGAGACAGAGACCCACATTGGAGCACCGGACTGAAATCTCAAGGTCCAAATCAGGAGCAGAAGGAGAGCGAACATGAGCAAGGAACTCAGGACCGCGAGGGGTGCACCCACACACTGAGACAATGGAGATGCTCTATCGGGAACTCACCAAGGCCAGCTGACCTGGGTCTGAAAAAGCCTGGGTTAAAACCGGTCTCACTGAACATAGCGGACAATGAGGACTACTGAGACATCAAGAACAGTGGCAATGGGTCTTTGATCCTACTGCATGTAGTGGCTTTGTGGGAGCCTAGGCAGTTTGGATGCTCACCTTACGAGACCTGGATGGAGGAGGGTTTTCCTCGGACTTCCCACGGGACGGAGAGCCCTGATTGCTCTTTGGGCTGAAGAGGGAGGGGGAACGGATTGGGGGAGGGGGAGGGAAAGGGGAGGCGGAGGTGGGGAAGAGACTGAAATATTTAATAAATAAATAAAGAAAGAAAGAAAGAAAAAAAAAAAAAAGAAAAAAAAAGAAAAAAGATCAGAACAAGAACTGTATTAATAGAGCCGGGCGGTGGTGGCGCACGCCTTTAATCCTGGCACTTGGGAGGCAGAGGCAGGCGGATCTCTGTGAATTCGAGGCCAGCCTGGTCTACAATAGCTAGTTTCTTCTGTCCTGTATTCAGCACTGCAGAAGGCCCACTTACAGATACTTTGGGAAACAAATGTTTGCCCTAGCATGGCTTCTGTGTCACCCCCCCCCACACACACACTGTCCACTCACATCCTTACTCTGCCTGGGTAGGAGTGTCCTTTCCATATTCCTGACACAGATCACAATTACAATTAGCACCTGCTGATGCTGTACTGTTACCTGTTACCTCTTTTATCAGGTAAGGACCAGGTGTCTTTCATGTTTGTGTCTTAACTGTGTAGGGTTTAATGTTTGCTGAGTGTCTTTGACTCTTACTCTTATTTTTTTTTAAATTTATTTGTTATGTACACAATATTCTGTCAGTGTGTGTGCCTGCAGGCCAGAAGAGGGCACCAGACCCCATTACAGATGGTTGTGAGCCACCATGTGGTTGCCGGGAATTGAACTCAGGACCTTTGGAAGAGCAGGCAGTGCTCTTAACCGCTGAGCCATCTCTCCAGCCCCTCTTACTCTTATTTTGTTGTTGTTTTTGGAGAAAGGATCTCACTCTAGTCCAGAATGGCATCATATACTCAAGGGACCCTCCTGCCTCAGCTTTCCAGGTAGCTGACTATAGGTCTGTGCCTTTGCTTAGTTCTGTGTGCATTCTTTATGTGTATTTATCTATGTGTATTCTTACAGGCATCTTATTATAGAAAACTTTATCCCCTTGGAAGAGAAGAATAAAATTATGAATAGGTCCTTCTTTGATGATGAAGAAGACCACTGGAAATTACACCCTCTCACCAGACTGGGGTGAGTCACTGCTGACCTGAAGCAGACTTGCTGGTGGGAAAACAAAAGAATGTTGCATGATGGGACCGGGCTACTGGGATGTGGGGAGAATGCATTGAAACTTGGAACCTGCCTGCCTAATTCTGTGGGAGCTACAGGCCCAGGAGGTACAAACTGGGTTCAATCATGATATTAGAACAACAGTTAGTTACAGTTTCCCATGACCTCCAATCTTCCTTTTCCCTGTCGGCTGAGGTGTGCTAGGACAGAAGGGTTATTTTGTATGTCAGTCTACACCTGGAGCATGACCATGCTGGAGATGTGGAGCTGTCTGTCAAGGAAGCAGGGATAACAGTGCTGGGAGCTATGCTTATCTGCTGTCTGAGAACAAGACAGTGGCTGGGGTCCCTTTCAGGGCAAAGGAGGCCTGATCATCTGAATCAGTTGGCACCTCAAGCAAAAAAGCTAAGAAGTTAGCACATGGCTTCTGTCAGCCTTAGTCCCAGAAGTTCGTGCTTTCAGTTCTCTCTGGCTTGGAGTACTTCTCAGAGTACTCTCTGAGTGCTTATCCCGTTGGCCTGGTCCTGGCCTGTGGGGCATATTCCAGCAGGGCCTTAACCACTATCATCTGCTTTCAGGAGCCAGCAGATGATGAAGCGGCCCGTCTCTGCTGTGGGATACAAGAGACCCCTGAGCCAGCATGCACGGATGTCCATGATGATTCGGCCAGAACCCCGATACAGGGTGAGAAGACTGTAGTTGGTTTTTTACTCTTTGCTCTTTTCTTTTTCTATCTTTTTTTTGGTTTTTGAGATGGGGTTTCTCTGTGTAACAGTCCTAGATGTCCTGGAACTAGCTTGTAGACCAGGCTGGCCTTGAACTCACAAGATCTGCCTACCTCTGCCTCCCAAGTGCTGGGACTAAATGCATGTGCCACCACTTCTTGGCTGAGGTTTCTGTCTTGCCTGATTGCTACACCTGTTTAGTCCCAAATAAACACACAGAGGCCTACATTAATTATAAACTGATCAGCCTATTAGGTCAGGCTTCTTATTAACTCTTATAACTTATATTAGCCCATAATACTTGTCTGTGTTAGCCATGTGGCTTGGTATCTTTTTTGGTGAGGCAGTCACATCTTGCTTGCTCTGTGTCTGGCTTCTGTGTCTGAGTGATGACTGCAGACTGAAACTTCCCTCTTCTCATTGCCCCACCTCTACTTGCTGTCCGGTCACCCCATTTATACTTCTTGCCTGGCTACTGGCCAATCAGTGTTTGTTTAAAATACAAGTGACAGGGTACAGACCATTGTCCCACAGCAACCACTGCCCAACTTGCTCTTTGCTTTTTGGGGGGCCTACCTCTCAGTTTCCAAATAAATCACACAGAATCTTATTCTTTCTTAGCATGGCTTATTTCTAGCCAGCTTTTCTTAAATTTCTGGGCTTTTATCTTTATCCTTTCTTTACTTCTTACTCCGTGGCTTGCTATGTAGCTAGGTGTCTGGCCCCTCAAGTCCTCCTCCTTCTCTTGCTCCTTGATCTTCTCTTCCCAGATTTCTCCTCCTATTTATTCTTTCTGTCTACCAGAGAGAATAACCTTTTTTCTGCCTCGCTATTGGCTGTTCAGTTCTTTATTAGACCAATCAGTGTTTTAGACAGGCAAAGTAACACAGCTTCACAGAGTTGAACAAATGCAACACATCTTTGCATCATTAAATAAATGTTCCACAGCATAGATTAATGTAACACATCTAATTTATATTCTTCAACAGAAGACTGTTCGTGGATTTTTTAAAAATTGTTTAAATGACAGTGTTTTTTACATATGTGCATGTGTGTTTGTGGGGATCGGGAGGCATGCACACGCATGCTGCAGCAAGTGTCGGATGACAGTTTGTGGAAGCTGCTTCTCTTCTTCCACCATGTGAGTCCCAGGGATCAAACTCAACAAGTAATTAACAAGGGAACCAGATCTGAACAATGGTATAGACAGATTAAGTCTAACACGCATCTGTGAAACACTTAGCTCACTCTCCGCACCCCCTTATATAATTCAAAACATGCATTATTTTAAGTACACATCGGATGTTGTGTTTACACCAAAGCATGTCCTAGTTACCTTTGTCAACTCGACACAGCTTGGAGTCGTCTGAGAGGGAAGCTTTGATTGAAGAACTGTGTAGATCAGATTGGCCTGTGGGCATGTCTGTGGGTGTTATCCTCATTGTTAACTGATGCAGGAGACTCAGCCCACTGTGGTTGGCATTATCCCTAGGTAGGTGTCCCTGGGCTATATAAAAAAGCTAGCCAGGTTGGGGGCTGGAGAGATGGCTCAGCAGTTAAGAGCATTGCCTGCTCTTCCAAAGGTCCTGAGTTCAATTCCCAGCAACCACATGGTGGCTCACAACCATCTGTAATGAGATCTGATGCCCTCTTCTGGCCTGCAGGAGTACATGTAGACAAAATATTGTATAATAAATAAATAAATATTTAAAAAAAAAAAGCTAGCCAGATATGAGGCAGTGTACTCCCTCACTGTTAATGTGTCCTGGCCAGTTAATGCCTTATGGAACAGCGAGCAGGCCTGCTTTCCTCAATGGTGGACTAGAATCGTGAAGGGTAATATCAAATTCTTTCCTCTCCAGGTTGTTTTCGGTCATTGCGTTGGTCACACAATAGAAACGAAACTAGGACACATGTTCACATGAGGACTTGCATACCATGAATCGTCATTGCAGCTTTGTTCAATATTCAAAAGCCAGAACCAATCAAATGTTCATCGAGTGATGAATATACATGAGTTGTGGTATTTACATGTGTAGACACATGCAACACTATCATTTTAGGCCAGTCCCTCCTCCCCCAAGACAAGGTTTCTCTGTGTAACAGCTCTAGCTGTCCTGGAACTCCCTCTGAGACCAGGCTGGCCTTGAACTCATAGAGATCCTAGGCAGGCTCCTTTTAAACATTTTTTTCTGTCACATTTATTTGTATGTGTTTGGATGCATGTGTGTCATGGTACATGTCTGCCGATCAGAGGACAACTTGGTGGGAGTCAATTCTTTCTACTCTGTGGGCTCCAAGGACTAAACTCCGGACATCAGGCTTGGTGGCAAGCACCTTTAGTTGCTGAGCTGTCTCGCCAGCCCTCCTGGGAGGCTTTTAATGGCAAGTAGCTTGCAGTTTTGATCTCAGAGATTGTCTGGCTTCCTTGTCCTTGCTGATGGCTGCTGTGCTTCTGCTGCAGGCGGAGAACATCATGCTCTTGGAGTTGGACATGCCCAGCCGGACGACCAGAGATTACGAGGGCCCAGCCATTTCCCCCAAAGTCCAGGCTGCCCTAGATGCAGCTCTGCAGGATGAAGATGAGATACAGGTGGATGCATCATCCTTTGAAAGCACTGCAAACAGAAAACCCAAGGCCAGGTGAGTGGCTTCTAGTGATCCGTGTCTGAAAGCATGTGTGAGCCAGGTGTGACAGTGAATACTTAATCCCGGCCCTCAGGAGGCCCTGCTCCCAGCCCGTGTTCATTTGGCCTGCAGTGCTGAGCATCCAAGCCCCCCTTTTAGGTTTTGTGCCTCTTCTGGAAGGTGGGTTGGCCAGGCCCAACAGGTCATGCTGGTCTAGTCTAGTGGGTTTATAGTTCAAAGAATCCTGGTTTTCGGGCCTTTGAGGAAAGGCCCCCTTCAGATCTGCATGCTGGTTAGTAACGGCCATGTCCATTTGACTTTTGCAGGCCCAAGAGTGGCAGGAAGTCAGGATCCTCCTCTTCCTCCTCAGGAAACCCTGCATCTCAGTTTTACCCACAGTCTCGGGGGCTGGTTCCTAAGTAACCCAGCACCCCCTCCCAGGGTGGGAACAGCATTGTCTTCTGAGAGAAGAGCGAGCACGAAACTGCAGAGATGACTTGAGCCTAAACGCAGAACCGTTCCCCTGAGGAGAAGAGATAGCCTTTTTGCAGATTAAGCGACTCATTCTGCCTGAACATGCTGGTCCTGATTTGGCACTCAGCTCCTCTGGGACGTGTCCTTGAATTAGCATCTCAGAAATGCATGGGTAAGGTGAAGTGCAAAGTCCAAGTGGACAGCAAGAGAATGACCACAGCCTTGCTTTCCTTCTTCCTCCCGTTCCCACCCTCCCTTCCTCTCCTCTCTTCTAGCCTCTTCCTCACACCAGGATCCCTTCTTGTTACACAATATGGCGTCGAGGCCTCCTTAGGACCGTATGTGAGGAGTCTTGGAGTAAAATGACAGTGGAGCTGGGAAGTGACAGCCCTAGAACTGCAATAGGTGCCTGCTTTTGTCAGGTGAAATGAGAGATCTCACTTGGAACCAAGTCCTAGGATGGCACAACCAGCGAGCCAGCTCCCAGGCCCCTCAGAAGGAGTAGATCTGCCTGTGGAATCTGTTGAACGGGGCAATGGCTTCCAGTTCCTGCTCCAGAAGGACTTGGTGTTGGAAGCAATAGAAAAGACATTCCCTTTGCCTCCTGGGAGAGTTTGGGGAAATAGCTTTTTTAAAACCTCAAAACCATGACCATCCTGTTAAAGACCTAAGTCTATAAACCAGTGCCATGTCCATCTGCCATGTCACTTTACTCTTCCTTTGTCACCGTCTTCCTCCAAGTCCACATGCTGAGTGGGCTCGTGTTGACCCTCCTTCAGAGTGCGCCTACAGAGTGTGCTTCGAGGTGGGTCTCTGTGGGAGGAGGGGTTGGCTCTGCCTTCTCTGATGGGACTGGAATTGGGGGCACTTCTGAATTGCCCAGTTGGGTCCATGCCGGTCACGGGGGCAGAATGAGTAGGCAGATGCAGAGCTGGAGGCAGGAGACTCAGCAGAGGGAAGGGAAGACAGAGACAGTAGCAAAGGGATCCTGTCTGCCTAGAGCAGAAGGCCCACTGACTGCTGGAGGTATGCTTCCCCTAGGTGCTGGCAAGAAGAGGCTCTGAGAGAGTAGACTCGGAGGAGAGTTCACACTTCCTGTTTACATAGATTAGTTCAGTGTGTAAGTTTTAGTTCTTCATATTCTGGCACCTCGAGCTTTATTTTGGTCATTAGGTGACAGTTACTCATCCCCCCTCCCCCCCAAGAGAAATGCGTGAGCGTGGAGGGCTGTGTGTGCACAGTGATGTCTGTGCTCTCATCATCTGTGAGCGAGACTGAAGACTTGTCAGTTTTAGAAATACTCCAGCGTGCAGCCTTTGCCTTCGTCTGTGGTAAAGGCCACTGGATGGCTAATCAGGCTAGAAGCACGCCCCCATGTGTGTCTGAGTCCATGATCCAAGCCTGAGGGGACGGTCTTGAGTCCGCAAGTCTGCCACACTGGTGCACCTTGCTGGCATGGTGCCTCAGGAAGATGGCAACTCAAGTGGGCCTTGGGATGCATTTTTAACTCAGCTGCTCAGTCCCCATATCATTTCTGGATCAGAACCTATGGGAAGGAGGAGCTAGCACGTGCAATGTCTTGACATTCTACAGAATGGAGATCCATTTATCCCCATGTTAGTGATCATTCTTTCTGAGCCTGGAGCCCTATTCAGCAGTTCCTAGGGTATAATGGAACCTGTCTTTATCTTTTCTTGGGCTCAAACCCTCCTCCTTATGTACTAAGAATTTGCCTGTTTGAATAGGAACCAAATGACGAGATGTGTGGTCTAAGGTGGCTGTCTGCTGGTGACACTGTCTCTCTTACCACATTTCCACACAGTTAGTCTGAATTCTGTAGGCTAAAAACATTCATGCAGCAAAGCAAAGGATTGGAAACTTCAGGTAATACCATACCTTAATACTGGTGTCTTGAAGTGGCTAATATGTTGGAGGTGGTGGTGGTTAAGTGATCTACAGAACTTTTCCAGAGAAACAAAAGAAGAAAGCCAGCTGACAGTCATGATTATTAAAGCAAGCTTTGCCCTGTCCCCAGCTGTGTTCCTACAGTGGTCTATGGAAACCAAGTAGAAGGGCCACCCATGTGGCAATGAAGCTGTCTCTTCCCGGGCAGTCTCTGGTGCTTCTCTTCTCTCAACATGGATCCGATATTGAAAAGAGTAGATGCTAAAATGTCTTGCTGCCCCCAGAATGCTGCTGCTTTGAGTTCTGAATTGAGCCAAGAGTAGAGAACATACCAGCTCTCTGAGGGACCAAAGCTTTATACTGATAGTTAGCTCGAATGTTCTGGGATGCTGGAAGGCCTTCATGCCTGCAGCAGCTGTTGTAGCCTAGAAGCAAGTCTTTAAAAGGATCTAAGAAGATCATCCGGGAGGTGTTTGCAGCTACGCATACAATCCCCACCAGACTCTCTTTCCCTCTCATCTGTAGAATGTATCTGGCTTCATATGACACAATTTCCAGACCCCTAGATTCAGAATCAGAGGCCACAAATCATAGGCATGAAGCACTTTCTTAAGACTGACCTGTGTTGAATTGCCCCCTGTCGGATGCCTGCATGCTGCTTAAACTGCTCCACCCACACTTCCATGACCCAGGGTGCCAGACTGTGGTACAGCTCAGGCGTGGGCCTGTCTGCCCTTCCTTATCGTATTAAGTCCTCCCTCACTGAATGTAGACTCTGCCAAGTTCCTGAGAAGCGTCGACTCCTTGCTAACATAGGCTATCCAGTTCTGCCTCACCTTTGCCTCTCGAGTTTGAGGAGCACTGTGAACACCTTGGACCATCCAGACACCATCATGGATGAAATGGGCTACTAATGTACTCTGAAAGCCATAAAGCAAAGCTCAGAGGGAGCTAGGGAAGATAGTCAGCCCCACAGTTATCATTCAAGTCTTGGTCTGGTACTTTGGGATTCTGGCACCTTCCTCTCTGTCTGTCTCTTGAATAAAAATGCTTCTGAGGTTATTTATGAAGGGAATGATGTGGGCAGGCAGAAGGCGGGGGCTTGATGGCTCTTTGGAGTTACTAATGATCTTGACCTTCTCTTAGGCTGTCTTTAGACAAAGGATATGCCAATACTTGGGACTTTTAAGTTTTACAATTGATATTTATTTGTATTATCTCTTTGTTTAGCGATGTAAAAGTGATTCTAAAATAAGATGTGTAATAAAAATCAATCAGATTTATTGTATCTACAGAAAGGTGTCCTTGTAATTGATTAGAGCCTTTTAAAGAGACTCGCCAGTAACTGACATGCGTGGTTTTCTCTCATGTCGAAGATGTTGTCGTTAGAGGAAAACATCAGCACTGAGTTGTAATACTGACATCCAAAACGTACAGCAATGAGAGTGACAGGTGGGGGTGTGGCTTAGTGGTAGAGTTCTTGCCTAACTTGTGCAAGGCCCTGTCTTTGATCCCCAACATCATCAAAGGGAGAGAAGAACAGAAGGAAAGAGACAAAAAAACGTGTGTCATGTTTTTGTGGCAGTTTCTAACCTGAAGTACTTGGGCCTGGGGCAAGAGGCATGAAAATTTTTAACTTGATATTTTGTTTTATAAAGTTGTTTTGAAGATATTATACATTATACAGTTTATTTTAAGACATACCCATGTCTCTTTTTTTAAAAAATGTCATGATGTTTATCATTAAGAAACCAAAATATCAAAATCGGGCCTCGTGTCTTGCAGATTCTCATATCCCAAGACATGCTGGGTGAACCTCAGCAGGTCGCACACTTCCTCCAGAGAAATGGGACCAACAGAAGGAACCTTGGCTTAGTTCCCCTTCTGTTGTGATAAAAGTCAATGGCCAGCACAACTTATAGAAGATTTTCCTTTGGCTTACAGTTTCAAAGGTGAGAGTTCGTCAGGAAGCTCAAAGATTAGTCTCAGCCACACATGGAAGCAGAGAGGAAGAAGTGGAAGTGGGCACGGCTGTAAATCTTAGAGCCCAGCCCCAGTGACATATTTCTTCCAGCCAAACTCCTCAAAGTTCCCAGAGTTCTAAAAGTTCCACAGCTGCCAGCTGGGGACCGTGAGCCTATGGGGGATGGTTCTCATTAAAACCCCCAAAACCCCAGACGTGGGATTCTTGAGCTGTGTTTGAATTGTAGCATTGACTTTGTTCTCTAGCTCAGTGAATATGAAGAATTCTGGATTTTCTTCTTCTCTGGATTGTGGAGCCCCTATCTACGAGTGGGGTGAAAATAGAGCGGAGCCCTTCTGAAGATTAGCAATACAGTGAAAGCAACCAGCACTGTGCGTGCTCCAGAGCCACACTCAACAGTGTGGCCAGTGCCACAATACGGCCATCTGCTCAGCAAGATGTGATGAGCAGTCTAGATCCCAGGAAACCAGGAGCCAGTACTGAGCAAACCAGCTTTATATTTGATATTAGCCAAAGGCTTAGAAACCACCTTTAGCAGACTCTAAAGAAAAGCAGCTAATCATTTAACAAGTATCAAGTACCTACTGTATACCAAGCCATCAAGTTTATATGACAAGATCTAACAAGTATCAAGTACCTACTGTATACCAAGTGGAACGCTAAGATGGTTCTTAGCAGATGGAAAAGGGGCAGTGCTTGTACTTCAAAGGGGAAGTGTTAACCAAAAGAATATAATAGAGGCTTTAATTCCAGCACTCAGGAGGGAGAAGCAGGTAGATCTCTGTGAGTTCAAGGCTAGCCTGGTCCACAGGGCGAGTTCCAGGATAGCCAGACCTTGTCTCAAAAACAAACCAACAAAAAACAAAATAACAACCACAAAAAAAACCAGAATTTTCATCAATTCCATGAAGTACATGGCAATATAAAGTACAATTAGTAATAGAGGGTGGGCTTCTGAAGAACCAGAGCGACAGCGGGGTCTAGAGTGCACAAGTGAGCAGGACGAGGGAAGAAGGAGAGAACTGGTGACCAGGCGGGAACAGCACTTGTGACAGCCTTGTGAAAGAAAGTTCTGTCGCACTGCTGGTGGTGCCGAGGCTCATGGGCAGTCCTGGCACGTGCTGAGCCAGCACTCTTCCACGAGCTGCCACCTCTCATCCCCTGCAGTCCTTCATCCTCACCAGAGGGAAGTATGCAGAACTCTTCAGAAAGGTTAAGCAGCATACAACCCTCAGAATACCAACATGAAGTTCACACGTGAGCTGGAGAGATGGCTCAGCAATCAAGAACACTGCTGCTCTTTCAGAGGTCCTTTGTTTGATGCCCACCACTCAAATGGTGGCTCAGAACTGTAACTCTAGTTCTGGGGGATCCAGTGCCCTCTTCTGGCCTCCACAGGCACTAGGCACACAGACATACATGTAGGCAAAATGCCTACTAACATAAATTAAAATATTCATACAGCACTAAGACAATGACTTGTTTATTCTTCTTCAAAAAATATACTCTAATTATATGTGGTATGCTTTTACTTCCAAACCTGTCCCATAAAGGAAACCCAAAGGCTGCCTTGACTTAGTAAGTATTCGTGGAGAATAGTCAGAATCCATTAACTAGGAATCAGGTACTTGAAGGGTGATATGAACTGTGTGTTCTTAAAATATATGAGAACTCTGAATTGGGCCAGGGACTGTTTCATGAAGTACCCAAGTGACTTGAATATTCATGCCAATTTAGTTGTATTTTCATCTTAGACATTATTTTAAAAAATTATTTGAGAAACTACTAAGTCTTGGAGACTGTTTTTAACTTCATACTGATCATTTAATCTTGGGGCCTCTGATTTTGGCAGGCCCTCTTAGACTAGCGTTACCGTCTGATTGAAGTTTACTCTAGAATTTAGTGTCCAAGAAGCATGTGGTGGTCACATCTGCCAGTGGAGTTGTTGGTGACATTTGTCAAGGACGTAACTGTAGCTCTTGCAGCTGCTGTCATTGCAGCCTTGGTTTTTATCACTGCGTTTGTGGTTAACCAGTCCCCGGTTGCTTCAGTTAGGCAAGCCGACTGGGGACTCGCTGGCGGGGTGGGCGTGTGCAGAGGCAGGTCTCTTGCTGCAGCTCTGGGGACTATGCAGCCCAACAGCACCCGGTGTGTACACACTGTGTGTTAGGGGTGGTGTTGCCCAGGACACAGGGAGAGCAAGTAAGATGTCCTGAGACCCTTCTGAGCAGGTGGGGGTATGTGTCAAAAATCATCGGCTTTGATTTTGAGTGCCTGGTACCTTTGAGGGCTGCCCCTGGCTCCACATTGCCCTCCCAGACCTTTGAGGCCAGATGGCAGAGCCTCCATGTGGCTCTTCCTGTTGGCAGTTTCATACACGTGTTCTCTGCCTAAAACATTCTTTCTGCTCTGCATGAACAATTCTTACTCATCTCTTAGGTACCAGGGTGGGTTTTTTTTTTTCCCCGAGGGGAGGAGGTGTTCCTTCTGACTTTTTGACTATCCATATGTAGCCCAGGCTGGCCTTAACTTGAAATCCTCTTGCCTTGACCTCTAAATGCTAGGATTATAGGTATGTGCAACCATGCCCGGCTCTCAGGAACCATTTTAAGTCATCTCCACAGACATCTTGGTTTCCTGCTATCTCTGCCTGGCTGGAGAGGGTCTCTTGACCTTATTATACCCCTCTTAGCCCTTTTCCGATTTGCATTTGTGTATTTATTGGCCGAATTCCCTGAAGGAATGGCTTGATGATCCTCCCTGGGTCTGGCATTTAGATGGTATGGTAGGTACTGATACCTGCAGCAAGTGTCATCTGTTGGGAAGAGTGATGATGTGCTCCGGGAGCAGTAAACAAAGGCTTTGTAGAGGAGGTGACAAATCCTGAGTAGGTGGTGCCCACTGGGCAAAGAGAGAAGAACATGCCAATCAGCACGTGCCTGGAACACTCCCGGTGACCAGGGCTTGGAGTGATGGAGGACCAGGTGGAGGACCACTCAGAAACTGCAACTCTACAGCACGTCTGTAGCTACTCTGTCCGTGTAAATACATCACACGAGGGAGGTACAGCCCTGTTCATACTCCAGCATGCTCTAATTAAGCCTTGAATGCTGTTATTCCCCTTTGAAATAACAGAAAGCAATTTTGTTAAGTGCCTCCAGTAAGCCTGTCTGCCATTCACGCGGGTTCTGGGCTTGGTTGGCAAATTCTCCACCAGGAGTTTTCTCTGGCACAGTTCACTGTGCAAGGCATTATTCCAAGGACTGTTTCATCTTGACACCAGTGTCTTGGTCCCCTAGGGAATGGGGCCAGGTCGCTCTCAGAGCAGGGCCTGGCTTTGAGATGTTCCAGCTGCCATTCATAACTCATGGGTTGCAACTGTGGACCATGTCCTTCCCAAAACTGACCGGTGAGTAGTGGCACCCATATGATTTCAGACTGTCATAAAGGACATCCTTTTTGTTTCTGTAGGTTTTCTGAGACAAGGTCTTATTAAGTAGGCCTGCCTGTTCCAGAACTCACGGTGCGAACCAAGTCTTGAACTTACTATGTTTTCCATGCCAGTCCTGAATGTGATCTGTCTGTCTCAGCCTCCAGGTGCTGGGATTATAGGCACACCGCACCACAGTTGGCTCTAATAACGCAGTGATTGCTACCTTTGCAAGTTTCCCCCAGTAGTGATGAGAGCAACCAGGGTTTGGTGGCAGGTCCATGTATTCACTTGAGCACTATATACACAGCGGGTAGTGTTCTGTGCTCTAGGCATACAGGATGAAGCTTCTGCACAGGGGGATGTCACATCTAGTGGGGAAGCCTAATGGCTAGCGAAGTCAGGTGGAGCACTGTGCCAGGTGGTCAGGAACTGGATGGTGCCCCGGGGCACCTCACAGCCAGGCTTATGAGAGCCTGACTGAAGTGCATGGCTGCCAGATGCAAATTGCCAGATGCAGTTTGAAGGTGGCAGAGCTGTGTGAAAAGCTGGCAGATTAGACTTCACACCATTCTCATTTACATACTACATGGTGTGTATGTGTAAATGCATTGTCTGTATTTAAGTACTGCGGCCAAGCCAAGTGCTACATGATAGACAGTCAGGCCACACTGACGGGCAAATCCTCTCAGTGACGGGAGTGCGCCACTAGACAGTAGGAAAGGTGCCACGAGCGGGGAGGTTCGAAGCCACAGCATCTCTTTGGGTAGAGTTGCTGAAGGGGTTAAGAAGTCATCCTTCGGACATGCAAGAGGAGGCATATGTTACTAAACAGCACTTGGTACTAATAGTAGTGGTGCAGCATTATGGGAAGTTCCTGTGTCTCCCAGACCCGTGTTTAGACCATGATGTACCCAGAGCAAGTTGCTTAGCTGTCTTGAGTCTTGGGTTGTCTCCTTACCTCTGTTGTATTGAGGGAGGGTCCTAATGTGATCTTACGCAGTCTTGTATCTAGTTATATACTGATGGTAAAAAAAAAAAACACAACCACAAAGGCGGGGTATAGTGGGAGTACACCAGTAATCCTAGCACACAAGAAGCTGGGGATTATGAGTTTGAGCTAGCAGAGACTACACAGTGAAAGCCTATCAAAGATTAAAAAAAAAATTAAAAACTCAAATTCCTGGAGAGTCCATTAACCAGAGCTAATGATCTTTTGAGCATCTGTGCACGATCTTTTAGTTTTGCCTTCACAGTATATACAGGGGACTGTGGGCTTAGTCCAGTGGTGAGTGTAGTTTAAGGATCTACCTGGATCACCTCAAATAAAACAATATACATAGGTTCATTATTGCTTTCACTCAATAAAATGGTATGGACACAAACAGTTAATGTAGACTTATTTTTTATTATTTGTTTTCTTTTTCAAATGAGTGTGGGGCTGAAGAGATGGCTCAGCGGTTAAGAGTGTTGCCTGCTCTTCTAATAGTCCTGAGTTCAATTCCCGGCAACCACATGGTGGCTCACAACCATCTGTAATGAGGTCTGGTGCCTTCTTCTGTCCTGCACACATACGTGTAGAAAGAATATTGTAAACATAATAAATATTAAAAAAAAAAAAGAAGAGCAGTGAGTGCTCTTAATCACCGAGCCATGTCTCCAACCCCGTGCCTCGTTATTAAGAAATTAATATGATAAAACTTAATTTTATAATATGGGTGGGAGATAGTCCCTCACTTTGTCGTCATTGTTTTACCTTCATGTTGTGGCTGCATAGGACTTAAATTTAGGTAGTCAAGCCAACTGGCTTACTTGATAGAGCTCTTTTGAACTTGCATATTCAGAAAGATTCCAGCTCCAGAGTAGTAAAGGTATTTTTCTTGCAATACTTTCATTACCACATGTAAATAAAAATATAAACTGTATGCTGGGATGTATTTAGATTTAATAAGGGAAATGGGATCCCAGCTTGTTTGCTATGGCTGACACCCACCATTTCTCCAGTTTACTTGTAAAGGTTGTTTCTCTGCGTGTGTGTGTGTGTGTGTGTGTGTGTGTGTGTGTAGCACGTTGTGCGGAGGCACCCATGGAGGCTAGAAGAGGGCTTTGGATGCCCTGAAGCTGGAGTTGAACGTGGCCGTGAGCTGCTGTAGGGGCTGAGAACGACGCTCTGCAGAAGCAGCAAGAGCTGTTAATCACTGTGCCCACCTTCCGCTCCTCAGGTGGTCACTTCCGTTGTGCATTGTGGGTCCTTACACACCTCTCGGCTGGGCTGTTTAGTAACATAGTTCAGCGTCCTTGGTTGAAATTGCCACATTGTTGTAGCTGCCTAATATATTTTAATATCTGGTTGAGAAAGACAAGTCATTAATCTCAAGGCTTTTCTTGGCGGTAGAGCAGAATGGTGAGTTCATGGAGTCTGCCGCCTGGTCCCAAGGCTAGTTTCTTTTCTCTCTGAATTCCTGCTCCCTAATCTGCTTGTTAGTAATGATGGTCATTAAACTTTAGTGTTTTTGGTGGTGGTGGTGGTTTTTCTTTTTTTTCTTTTTTTTTTTTGTGGAATTCTCTGATGGGGCCTGGCACATGGTAAGTGGTCAGTAAATGTTAGCTCTTTTGGTATGAAAATGATGCATCTATTTTCCCAGTTGAATTTTGGGTCACGTTGACAGTAAAACCACATTGGGGTCTTCACAGAACTGCATTTACGTGGCAGGCAAACTTTGGGATACGAGTACTAGAAGATTTCCCACCGAAGGCGAGTGCCAGTCTCCACGGACTCGAGACATACTCCTTGGTAGAATTTTTGTATTTTTCGTTTCTTTCCTTCCTTTGAATAGGATCTCATGTAGCCCAGGAGGTTCTCCCACTTTCTCTGTAGCCCCAGGTGACCTTGAACTTCTCTTAATATACTTTTGGGCCATAAACTTCTGGTCTTCTCCTCTGATCTCCTGAGTGCAGGAAGTACACACCTGTGCTGCCATATCCCGGCCATCAGACTGGGGGCTTACTTTGCACTGGACAACTACCAACTGAACCACACTTTGAGAGAGCTTGTTCCACCATTATTTTTTAAAGGAATTGTTAGTACATTAAAAAAAAAGTGGTTACTATTTATTTATTTGGGGTTGGGGTCTAAAATGCCTAGGCTGGCCTTGAACTTGAGATCCTCTTGCCTTTGCTTCCCAAGTAGCTTGGAGTATAGGAATGTACTACTTCTTATTTTGCTCTCAAAGTAGCTGTAATTGCTAAGTTAGGAGATAATTCCTCCCCATGAGACTTTCTAAGCTCCAGCAGCAGCACAGGTTTCTATGAACTAGCACATCAGCTTGCCATCACTTGCCGTTTGTCCATGCACTGCAGGGATGGTGTCTAAGTGGGTTGTAACACACTTAGCTTACATCCCAGTAGGAAGCTATCGGTGCCAGTAGAAGTAAGCAATCCATGCTGTACTTCTGCTGTTTTCTGGGATAGGAGAGCTCCTTGCCGGGAGGACAAGGAAATGACTAAGCCAGAAACTTCTGGCTTCATCAGGCTGACAGCCTCATTTGCAGCAGGCAGTGAAGTTATAATCAATGTTAAGAGTAAATTAGGTTTTCCTAATTATATTTTGAATGGGGGCTTCAGAGAACATAACAACACAGGGAGAATTCAGCTGGAAAAATATTCCAGGAGCCATAGTGGGTAACTCCGTAACTTAATCTTGCTTTTTCTTCCTCACGGCAGAGCAATTTGAGCACCCAGGTCTGGCTGTTGAGCACCAGTTGTCAGGCCCCTGCTGTAAGGCTGGCGAAGAGCTGGTGTCTGAGCTCTGGGGGATTCCTGGTTGTCAAGGGAGGTGGTTCCTCTGCTTTGCTTGAGCTGCAGGTGTAGTTCAGAGGTAGAGAACATTTGCCTTTAGTTCGATTCCTAGCACCACTCCAGCCACACTCCTTCACTAGATTGCTGATCCTGCTCCAACATTTGCTCGTTCACCCATACACTGAAGCCCCTCCCTCAAATCCATGTCCTTGTTCCTGGAATTTCCAAGGCCCAGTGAAACACAAAATCTAATTGTTCTTAGTAATAAAAACTCAAGAGTCAGCTATCAGGGGGTGAAAGCTGAAGAATCAGAGAAGCAGAGTGGTCAGCCACTAGAGTTCTTACCTCTACCAGTGCTCAGACTGCAATGAGCTCACGTCTCCTCCTGCCTTATATTCCTCTCTTCTCCCAGCCATACCACTCCTGTCTCCACCTCCCTAGTGCTGAGATTAAAGGCATGTAATCCCAAGTGCTGGGATCACTTTTGTGTGAGCTGTTTCTCTTTTAGACTGGACCAATATTGTGTAGCCCAGGGTGGCCTTGAACTAATAGAGATCCATCTGCCTTTGTCCCCCAAGCCTGGGATTTAAGGTGTGTGCCACCACTGCCTGGCCTCTAGTGCCCAGCTCTGCACTCTGATCTTCAGGCAAGCTTTGTTAGAGCACAACATATCACTACAGCCCAGATAAAGTATCAGCTCCTCATGAAGGTCCCCAGTGTTTGTTGCCACCTTTTTGTTGCTCTCTAAAGAAATGTATTTTTTGTTCTGAGACAGGGTTTGTTGCAGCACAGCCACTATGTAGCCAAGAATGACCCTAAATTCACTCCCCCTACCACCTTCCTGTCCTAAGTGCTGGGCTGATAGGCTTGTGCTACCACACCTGGCATTTTGTGATAGTTTTACTTTGTAGCTAGGGTGGCCTCAAATTCATGATACTGGTCCTACCTCAGCCACCAAAGTCCTGGGATTATATGTGTCAGTATATGTAGACTTGAATTTCACCTATTATGATCCCATTAGACCAGGAGGCCCTGGAAATAGAGACTTTATTGTCTTACCTTTGTGAGTTCATAGGACTTACAATTGAAATGGCGAGAGAAATGTGGATGATAAAAGTGGCAGGGCAGGGCAGTGCACTCTGGAAGCAGGCAGACTGCATTGAGTTCGGGGCTACCTTGCCTTTACAGCAAGTTCCAGGGCAGCCAGGGCTACATAGTGGAATCCTGTTTCAATAACAAGAACTATCGAAGTGACAGAGAGGAAAGGAAGGGGCAGTGCATTAGACTTTACAGCTCCATGGAAGCAGAGCAGGAAGGTAGGGAAATTGGGTTAGTCTGAATCCTGGCTCAAGATTCAATCTAGGAACAGAGGTAAGTGGGATATTTATTGTTGCAGCACTAAGGATCAGAGCCAGGGCCTTGTACAGGCAAATGCGAGTAAATGCTGTGTCTCTGAGAGATATTCCTAGGCCTGGACATTGCTTTTCCCTTTCCAAATTCCAAGGTAAAGCACAGCACTGCTGCTGTGGCTACTGCTGCTATCTACCGGGGCTCCAGAGGGGCTGGGAACACCCTGGGCTCCGCTACAGAATTTGGTGGAAGTACTTTTGAGCCACAGCAACTACCTAGAAGGGAGGCACTCATATTAGGAATCAGCCGGTATGTGACAAATTACTCCAATACTTAAGTGACATTGAAAACATCTACTATCTCCCACATGACGTTAATTCACTATCTCTGATTCCATGGGCTTGGGATCCAGCTTATTTGGGTGATTCCGCTCTGGGCCTCACGGGTTTGCAGCTAGCATTGCTGGCCAAGGCTGGAGTCATTTGAAAATCATCCTGGGTAGCGTGGTGACTGGCTTTGCTGAGTGTGCAGTAGCACAGGACAAGGCAGAGCTGTGATGACTTTCCTCTAGCCCCAGGAGCCACAGTGATCATACCTGGAATCCCAGAAATGGGAGGCTAAAGCAGGGGACTGCTGAGGCCAGCCTGGGCTACTGAGTGGGTTTCTGTCTTCAAAATGCAAAATAGCCAGGCATGGGGGCATATGTCTGTAATCCCAACACTCAGGAGACAGAGGCAGGCAGATCTTGGAGTTTTAGGCCAGCCTGGTCTACATAATGAGTTCCAGGACAGCCATAGCTACACAGATAAACCCTGTCTCAAAAACAACAAAAAAAGAAACAAAGCAATAACTTTAGCAGCCCCAAATAAAATCACTTTAAAAGTGATTTTAATTTTTTTCTTAGTTGTAGAGGGAAGGGCCTAAAGTTAGGTCAAGAGGATTCATGGCACCTCTGAATGCTTTTTTCTAGCATTAAGAGAGATTAAAAACAGGGACGAGTCTTTAATGAAGAAATTTCTACCAGGAAACCTTGATCAGCCAGGGCTGTCATTTCCCAGTTTTGAGAAAACTGGCGTCAGTCTCCCTTTGGCTGGTCTAAGGATCCAACAATACTAAAGTGGGAAGAGAGAACCTGTAGGTGTTCTTCCACTACTGACTGGTATTAATCAAAATTTTACTTTTTCATCATAAAGGAACACACATTCTAGATATGGAAGGTGTAAAGGAAAAGCTATCATCATAACTGCCAACTTAATCGAACTGCTCTATTTTGTGTTGAAATGAAAAAAAAAACTTGGTTTTTCTGAGACACAGTTTCTCTGAGTAATCCTGACCCTCTTGGAACTCACCGCCTAGAGACCAGGCTGGCCTTCAACTAAGAGATCTGTTTGCCTCTGCCTCCTGAGTGCTAGATTAAAGGCATGTAACACCATGTCTAGTGAAAAATCTTTTTAAATTAATGTAATATTTTGTAGGGGAAAAGTACAGGTAAACTTCCTGGTCTTACAAAGCCTAGAGATTACTACTGTAAACATTTTGGTAATTTAATTACCTCTTACAGAGTCATGGAAGACTGAACAGTAGAATTTAAATGATGGTGAATGGCACTTGAGTTATGAGTTAAGACATCCAACATGTGGGCAGATTTGGCAACTCAATGAGAATGAGGATGCCATGAAGTCTTTACTTATCACTTGTAGGGACCTGTTTGGGTAAAATCTTCTCTTAGGTTTTTCCGCCTGTATAAGCAGGTTCCAAAAGCTGTTATGAGAGCATTTAATAGTGTATCATTCCTTAAAATGTTTCCTCAGACTTTCTACAACAAAAGTATTACTGAGATTGGCTCATACACCAACAGTTTGGCTGCCTACTAGACTGCCAAAGACTGGCTGGCCTTTGAGGGTACAGGAAGCAAATCCAAGCAGACACCAGCATGAGTAGTTACCAGTGTGTGAAAGGGTGGGCAGACTCGACATTAGCTGATCATCTGCAGTGCTGAAGCTCAGCAGCTGGGGTCTCCTTGTGTTATCCAGGCTGGTCTCAAACTTGTGGGTTCAAGTGATCCTCCCGTTTCAGTTTCTTAAGTAGGCATGTGCCACTCCACTGTCCAGGTCACCATTTTGTAGTAAGGAGGCCGCCCGCTAGTTAGTTCCCAGCCACTTAGCCCCAAAATAATCACACAGAAACTATTATTTAAATCACTGCTTGGCCCATTAGCTCTAGCTTCTTATTAGCTAACTTTTACATCTTAATTTAACCCATTTCTACTAATCTGTGTATCCCCACATGGCAGTGGCTTACCAGGTAAAATTCTGGCATTTCTGTCCATCACGTCTATATGGTTTCTCCTTGACTCCGGCTCCTTTCTCCCAGCATTCAGTTTAGTTTTCCCCACCTTGCTCTGTTCCCCTATAGCTCTGCTACAGGCCCAAAGCAGTTCTTTTATTAACCAATGATATTCACAGTATACAGAGGGGAATCCCACATCACCCTTTCATTTTATTGTGTATCCTGCTGTTCAATGACAATGCTGGGTTGATGAGGTTTCCTAACTTGTTCATGGGCGCACATCTGGGAAAAGGCTACAGTTTCAAACTCAGGCCTTACTAGAGTCCAGAACCAACGTGTTTTTTCAATTTTCTAAAAAATTTATGTATTGGTGCTCTGTGTGTGTGTGTGTGTGTGTATATATATATATATATATATATATATAATCTGTACATTACACATGTGAGATAGTTAATTGTGAGCCACCATGTGGGTGTTGGGAACTGAACTCAGGACCTCTGTAAGAACACTTAGTGCTCTTAACCACTGAGCCATCTCTACAGCACCAGAACTAGTATTAACATATCACATTGAGGATCAGGGATACTATGTGCTTTTGTGTGCTTTGTCCATAAATGAAAACAATGACATCCCCAGACTGGGCAGGGTTGAATAGCAGTTCTGTTTATTTTACTCAGTCCATAGCACCTGTGTTACTTTCAAAGGCAGCCTGTAATAAAAGCACTGTGATAAAAACAACATAAAAACACACTAAAAAAGAACATGTATGTGTTTGTTGCTTCTGGCAAGAAAACATGTTGATTCTTGTTAACTGAAAAAACAAATCAAAACAGCTTAAGGATTAATAACCAAAGCTTACTTTCAAACATGTTTCTCTTTTTGTTGTTATCGAGTCTCACTGTATATCCTAGATTGGCTTCAAACTCATCATAGCCTAGGCTAGCTTTGAACTCAAAATCCTTCTGCTTTCACCTCCCCAGTGATGAAATTAGACACGAGCCGCCTCACCCATTCCCAGTGGTCCTCCAGACATACTTTCTCTTTGTGCTTCATGATGACACTGTCATTAGTTTGATTCTACAAGGGCAGAGATCTTGAAATATTCACACGTGGATTTTCTCACGTGTGATCCATCTGTGAGACCTAGGCAGTGCTTGCTGAGATACCCTGAAGGGGCTGCTGCATCGCCTACATTAGCCTTCGTTGGCTGTAATTAACACAGACCATAGTTTGAAACACACATTTATAAATGTTCCACACTTCTCTGGGCGCGAGTCCAAATATGGAGTGGGTTCCAGGGGTTCCCTGCTTCAATCCGAGGCTGGAGTCAAGGTGCCCCTTGTTTCTGAGCTCATCTACACTGCCAGCGTGCTCTGCTGGGCTGAATGACTATCGTCCCTATTCCTTGCTGCTGTGGCAGGCTTCTTAGCCCAGAGGCTGCTTACACTCCTTTGCTTTCTGCCACTTCATAGTCAGTCAGCAACAGTGAGCCGAGTTGCTTCATAGCTCCAAAACACCCATTCTTTCAAGGACCCATGTAATGATCTTCCTTACAGCCTAAATTTACCTGCAAAACTCTTTTCCTACTGAATGGAATAAATTTAGTTTGGTGGTATACATGGATGAAAGAAAGTTTGGATACTTTTGGCCAGAGCAGCCAGACTCTAAACATGAATATTTTAGTCAGATCTGTTGGCAAAGGCCTGTAATCCCAGCTATTCTGGGGAGGTTGAGGCAGAGGCAAGCCAGCCTTTGTGACTTAATAAGAACTTGAAAATCAAAGGTAAAAAGGGCTCGGGAGGTAGTTTAGTGGTATAACAGCTACTATGCATGAGCTCAATTCCACACAGAAAAACACAAAGCAGGCATTTTAGTGATTCTTCCTCATTTAATCCAAGTGTGTGTATGTGTTGGAGGTATGAGTGATTCAAAATGTTTGAAATAAGTCACAGTATCCTCTCAGAGGTGACTCAGTTGCAGATTGAAAAAATAAAAAATACTGTAAATAAAACAACTAAAAGCCAGGCATAGTTGGGCATGTATTTTAATCCCTCATGTATTAATGGGAGGCAAAGACAAGAGAACAGTAGCCTATTTGAGGTCAGCCTGTTTATACTGTGAGATTTTGTTTCAAAATAACAATAAAGAGTGCTCAGTGGTTGTGTGAGGCCCTGGGTTCAATCCTTAGCACTAACACCGCCCCCCCTCCACCAAACAAAATAGCAATATACACCTTTAATCCCAGCACTCCAGAGGCAATGGCAGGTGGCCAACCTGATCTAGATAGTGAATTCCAGGACAGCCAGGACTACATAGTGAGATCCTGTCCCCAAACCAAACCAAACCTAAAATGTCATAAAAAGAAATAAAACAATTTTAGAAGTTATTCCTCAACTCCCTGGTGGGATGAAATCAAGTGGGGGATGTAAAAATATGTAAATCTCACCTATCGTCTATTCATTGTAGATTGTTTGCTTTCTGGATTTGAGCCTAGTGTGACCAGAACTAAGTACTGCTGGCCCCTTAGGTGGTAGGGGTCACACTGCTCTGTGACTGCTGTCTCAGCCCTGGCAGCCTGTGTGCTAACACCAGAGAGAATAGAGTGTTTCCTCACCCACAGAAACCTTCCAAAAACTATAAAATCCCGTTTCCTAGTTTTAAAAATGGGCCATTAATCCAGTTCAAGGCTGACTGTAGAAATGTTTCTGGACATTGATTCATCAAATGCATAGAGAAAAAATACTTTATGTTCTGGGTGTTCCAAACCTCATCCCATTTAACACTTGCAATCAAGGTTCTGAGAGGCTCCACTGCTCACTGTGAGTGTGTAATAACAGCTATCATTTATTCTATGCCAGAAGCCAAATTACAGGAGTCTAATAATATCAGGATCCTCCACATCCTCTCCCCGATCTTCTAGATACTTCATGCTAATTTGTACCCCATCAATCTTGTGCAACAGTAAGCTAACACAGATCAAATCGAGGTTAAGAGGAGTCAGGAAGTGACCGCTAGGATTCTAAATCTAGATTTGGTAGACCAGGGACCTGATCTCTCCCCAGGGTACTGCCTCTAAAATAACACGTGCATTTTTATCTAAATGACCCTTAAGTCTTTATTACCAAATTCACCTGACAGCAATTCTGCGGTGGACTGCAGGTGCACCCTCGGCAAATACATTGCGGTCCGACAGTACAAGAGGAAATGGGCAACCGTCTAGGTCAGTCAATCAAGAAATAACCGTTTTACTGATATGAGTGTCTCTCTGCTTATTACTATGCGCCAGTTGAGTCATTTAAGGGTGGACCAAAAGGGAAAGTCCTGCTTCTTGTCACCCACCAGAAGTGCAGATGAGAACTGTATTCAGGGGGATGCCCACCGTGGAAGGAGGGTGGTGGACTACCAATTCCGGATCCTCACCCTCACTGGACCCGCCCCGCCCCTAGTCCCAAAAAACATGGAACGGGTTAAACGCGGCTAGGGGGAATCCAGCCACCGCCCCTTCCCAGCAACACCTCCCAGAAACCCTCAGGGCTCCGCTAGTTCCCGAACCTCGCGAGACCCCGCCCCATCCCTTCCTGACCGACTTCCCGCCCCCTTCTTTACCGAGCTCTGAGCGCAGCGGGGTACGGAAGAGAGTGGGCGGAAAGCAAGAGTCCCGGAGCACGACGGGAAACGTGGTCCAAGCACTTCAGGCAGCCATTTTCTTCCGGAGCGGGGGAGGCCGGGGAGCTAGTAAGGACTACAAATCCCAGCCATCCTTTCGGTTTGTTTTTGTTCAAAAAAAAAAACCCCACACTCCCCCTCCTCACTCTTCTCTCTCTCACACGCGGGCACACATACACACACACACACATACACACACCCACGGCAGAGACTCACGGACCGGAGCGTCGAAGGGAAAGCTGCGTCTCGCCATCCCGGCCCGCCACTCGTCCGGTCTCGGTTTCCCAGCAGCGCGGGAAAGCGGAGGCCCGAGCCGTGACCTCTGACCCCGTGGTTATGCGGAGCCGCCGCATTCCTTAGCCATCGCGGGGCTGCCGCCGCCGCTGCCACCGTGGGCGACTGACGCAGCGCGGGCGCGTGGAGCCGCCGCCCCTCCCCCATCGCCGCCCTCGCGCCGGGTCTCGCACCAGCCGGTCCCGGTGCGCCCGCCCTCTCCGGCCGCACCCGAGTCCTCGCACGCGCCGCCGCCACGCGCCCCCCGCCGCTGCCGCCTCCGCCCCAGCCCCGCGCCGCCACCGCCCCAGCCCGCCCCACCCGGAGGTCCCGCGTGGAGCTGCCGCCGCCACCGCCGCCGCGGAGGAGGAGGAGGATGAAGGACAAACAGAAGAGGAAGAAGGAGCGCACGTGGGCCGAGGCCGCACGCCTGGTGAGGCGAGCTGCCCGGGGGGCCGCGGCGGGGGGTCTGGGGGGTGGGCTCCCGCGCGGCTCCCGGGGCGGGGGAGGGGCGAGGCCCTGCCCACCGCAGCAGGGGGCGGGGCCGCCCGGGTGTGGAGCGCCGGACGTCCCCGGCCCTCGGGCTGTGGCGCCTTTTTCTGCGCACCCCACTGAATTCCTGCGGAGGGGCGAGCTGGCGAACGGCTCCTCCCTTCGGAGCGCCTGGGCTTCGGCCTCCCCTCCCCCACGTCGGCAGCGACTGGGTGTCCCGGGAAACGCAGTTTATTCATTTGCGGGAGTGAGGTTTCCGGGAAGGGTCGGAAGTGCTTCCCTGACTACTTCGTGGGCAGTGGAGTGGGTCACTGGACACCGCGGGGGTGGGAACGCGCCCCTGGTTTCAAGGACATGAGAAGCATTTAGAGCGTTGACAATTTAAACCAGGCGTGTGTCGGGAAGCAATTGCTGAGGACCAATCTGGCCCCTGAGCAGTGGTTCTTGGTTCTCAAACTTGAGTGCCCGGTGGGAGTATACCTGGGGACTTCGTTTAAAACACTGTTTCTAGAAGAACTCATTTTAAACACTGAACCCGAGATTCTGCTCAGAAACAGTACTTTAGCCAGATGTTTAAGGGATTATTATGCAGGTGGCCTGTGGACATTCAAATCACACTGAAGCTCTGTGACTGCTCTAGAGGTAGGCACTTTGCAGGAGGAATTGAATACAGTTGGCAAAGAGTATATGTTTTCATACAGAGGCTTCTGCTCAGAGGGTTTAGCGAGACCTAAATAAAAGATTGCTTGAGTTTGAGCTAGTTGCCTGCCCAGAGGGTTTGTGAATGTGTGAGACCACTTCCTTTTGAAATTAAAATACAAAGCCAAAAGACTTGCGGCATGTTCTTATAAAGTATTGCTGATGCCAGTCCTAATAGGCTATACTTTTCTCAGAGATGTCACTTCCTCAGGCGCCACAGTGCAAGGTTATGGTGCATTCTTCTTGTCTGTTGACACCCAGTATTTTATATGTAATTGTTATAATTCAGTTTTGATGATGGAGTCAAGCTCACCTTTCTTATGGTTTCTTTTAATGAAAAGTGAGTTCTGCCTCTTAAAGTGTTGGAGGTTGATAAAAATCTAGAGTGCACCCTGGTCTTTCTTGGGCTCTTGAAAGCCGGTTATTGATTTAGCCAGGTTGTTTGAACTACCAGAGAATTTCCACTGGTGTTTCTGGTCATCTGTCTTCTCTTGTTACTCTGGGAGTAGAAACGGGGTTTGTTTGTATAAGGTTGTATAGTTTGGTTTATTTTTTTGTTTGGCATATGAAAATTGAAACCCCGTGGTGGTACCCCCCCTTCTGTGATTCAATCAAAACTAGAATATTTGGCTAGTTTTTACGATCTTGGGACTTGAGGATTTCTTCAGTGATGCTTCACCTGGAGACAAATTAAGGCCTGCAGGAACCTATGAAACAGCTGAAATGAGGCGTGGGTTTTTTTTTTTTTTTCCATGGAGGTGGTTGTTGTTGAGCCTTGACTGTTAATTGAAATTCTCAGTTGTTTTGTGCAGGTGTTTGACTCTGGGCACCCAAAGAAAATTTGCTTGCCAGAGCCCTGCAGGTTAGAGGTAGGTAGGTGAAAGTACCTTCAAATTCTGTGTTGTGTTCTGACAGTACTAAAAATCTTGTCTCAAAGCTTTTTTGGCTTTTATTATATGAAAGGTTCTAGCAATTAGGAATCCGCTGTTGTTTTAAGCCTCTTTAGGTTCTTAAATTTACTGGTGGTTTGAATTCCAAGGTTAAGGTTGCTATTTCTATTTTATTACTAGCTCACCTTCAAGCTTAATTATCTTAAGTTATTTCTCTTTCTCTCCTTTGACTCTTGGGTTAAAAATAGTACTCTGAATAGGAATTTCTTTGTGGCGTAGTTGTACATTTGAAAGAGGACTTGTGGGAATGTGGTATGCAATCTTGTATATCTTTTATGTGGTTTGTGTTTTAGAATTTTCTGTGTCTTTGTGGGGGTGGGAGGGAGACTTGAGCCTTCTTCCCACTGAGTTTATTAGCTTCTACTGCAGAGGGCTACCTGACAAGCAGAGAGTGGCCATGGCAGCGCATTCATTTTGTAACAGGATTATTAACTACTTTTAAAGGTTGAATTTAAAGTGTGTGTGATGACCACATGCATTTGTCAGGTGGAAGTTTCTAGTTTCTCTTGGCTTCACTCAGGTTGGCAAGAAGATAATCTTTTAAATGCTGTTTTGGTGGAGGAAAGCCGAGAATTCATCCCTGTAGGTTTTTTTTTTTTTTTTTTTTTTTTTTTTTTGCAGTTGTTTTAAGAAGTGGATATTCTTCTCTCAGATGCCTTTTAGTGTGGTTCTAGCTGTCTGAAGTAGAGAAGGGTAAATTTGCCTGCTTGTTAGGAACAATTTGGGAGAAACAGCCAAGGGGATTTCCCTTAAAATTGAGTACAATTTTTTTTTTTTTTTTTTTTGAGACAGGGTTTCTCTGTGGCTTTGGAGCCTGTCGAGTACAATTCTTAAATAGATTTCTATCTTACACTTATTTATGACTGACCATTCTTACATCAAACTTTTTTTTCCTTTTAAGTAGAAGAGATACTTTTTTCTTTCCTTACAAAAAAATGTGCCGTCTATAGAGAAAGCCTGGGACTAGAACACTGCAGGGGTGTTCTGAAAGCTAGTGGTGTATGCAATTGTAATGAAAGTGAATACTTTGTATCTTTAGGTGTAACTTCTCTTTAGAATTTTCTTCTGTTTTGAGATTCTCAAGCTCTTCCTGGCTACTGTTTAAATAATTGGTAGATATTATTTTCAGAGTCATACTTCTCTAAAAAATGTTTGTGGGAAGATTGCTAGCTCAGCTGGGATCAAAGAGATGGTATCTTGTAACTGGACATTAGTAGCATGTAGGTTTGTTGTAGGTTTGTTAAGTCAGCCTTGCCTGTTCCACTTGGGTAATCTATAAAGAGGAGGACCTTGTAGCTTTCTGGAGATGGGTGTTCAGATCCTCGATCAGATCAAGTGTATGTGTTACTGGAGATGCATAGATTTAAATGGATATCTTGGTTTTTGCCTCTTGTTTAGGAATAAATACGATTAGTTTCTCACTTCCCCTTTGAAGTCTCCTGGCTTGGGAGATAATTACTTGTACTGTGGAACAGTGGGAATACCATAAGAGATTGGAGTCTGCCTGGCGTAGATTGGGAACTGCTTCCAAAAGGAAGGTACTTTCTGACTTGAGTCTTGCAGGGTCAGTGTAAGGTAGGGAGGCCTATCACAGAGGAGCCTATTCCTGCAGGATCTGATGAAAGAAGAATGGCTGAGGGAGGAGAGAAAACAAAGAATGGATACAAACATTTGCAAAGTCTGTAGCTGGGGTGGGGCAAAGAATAGTCACTGGTGCAGAAGCAGGAAGTGTTAGAGAGGTAGTCTGGTAGTCTTGTGGGGGACTTGTGTGCCCAGCCTCTGAGCACCTACAGGTCCCTATTTAAGTGCTCTTTAATCTGAGAGAAGATCTCCAAATACTTGAAGAGTGAGAGAGGACCTTTGGCCCAGATTGCCTAGGTACTTGCTTTAGGTTAGAGAGTAGAATTTAAATCTTGGCCTATCTGATTCTAAAGCCTGTGCTTTAGTGGAAGGCAGGGTGGGCTCTGGAAACTTACCTTCTTCTGCAGGTGGAGAGACAGGCAGAGTTTAAATAGATTTAAATAGAACCATGATGAAGGTGGGCTCAAGATCCCTAGAATTTGGCCTGGCACAAAGCAGGTGTTCCCTGTGGTTTTAAATGAGGGACAACCACAAGTAGGGGTGGATTTTAGGAAAACAGGGCCTTACCATGTATATATGGAAGAGGCTAGGCTGTTAAGTTGTGTCATTGGCTGTGGTCTTGAACCAGGTAGATGAGAGTAAAGGGTGCCACATGTGTTGCTGAATTAGGTGATTTGAGTGCCAACCAAGGTAGGGAATATAGGGAGAAAGGGCGGGCTGAGGTAATCAAGAATGGATAGCTAGACCTTTTAGACAGAGCTACTCGAGTCTGAAGCTTGGGAGAAAGTCAGGACTAGAGGTAGATAGGATCAGATTTCTCAGCATTAGAATAAGTGTTAGTAATTGACACATTATCCAGGAGCAGTGTAAAAATTAGAGAGGCTAAGGGGGAAGAGTAGAAGTTTTGTTTTAGTGCTCACTTCTCCAAACCTTGATTTCCTTTAATGACAAGGTTTTCTGTGGCATTCCTTTGGAACTTCCTGCTTGTCCTTTTTTTTTTTTTAAATGAAGGTAGGTAGAGCTTGGGTGTTACACTTCTTAGCTTGAGTGCCTGAAGCAGCTGCACAGGTGTAGAAAGTAAGATGATGCCTTTCTTTTCCTTCCTTAGAAGAGGAACATTTCTGAAACAGCTCAGCTTCTTAGAGTGAGAACTGTAGTTGCTGAGGAAGTGCTGACTTAGTTACAGATGAACTAACACAAATAGGACATTAGGTTCCTTACAGTTTTGTTATATGTCACCTAGAACCATAGTGTCATGTAGTCAAGTGCCAAAATGTACTGTGGCAGTCAACCCCAGAATTTCATAGTGTAATGGAAAAGAACTGAAGACGAACATGGCATATTCTTGTAATCCCAGCCCTTGGGAGGTAGAGACAATGGGATCAAGACTTCAGGTCATCCTTGGCTGCATGGCAAGTTCAGAACTAGCCTAGGTTGTCTCAGAACAAAACTGAACATTCAGCCCAGTGTTGGGGTGTACACCTTTAATCCCAACACTTGGTAAGCAGAGACAGGTGGGTCTTTATGAATTTGACTGGCCTAGTCTACAAAGTGAGTTTTGCGCCAGCTTGGACTGCATAGTGAGACTGTATCCAGAACCAAAAAAAAAAAAAAAACCTGTATATATACACACACACCCATATGGGTATTAGTCAGAACTTTTTTCTAAGACACAGTGTCATTATGTAGCTTGGCTGGTCTTGAGTTCAAG